CTTTACACAATTGATGTGTGTATGAATTGGGATAACAGTTGTATGAGCCCCTAATAAAATGTTAAAAAAAAAAGAAATAAAGCCAAACAGAATGCTCTAAAAAAAAAAAAAGAATTGGCCAGGTAGCTATCTCCCCAAATGTCTTGGCATAGATAAATGAGAGCTCACAGTGTTGCATCCACTTGTTGAAACATTTCAATTGGCATTCCATCATTCCCTGCAGCCTTGATTTTTTCCAGTACAACAAAAACTTCTCTTTTCAATACCATTCATTCTTGGTCATATCCTGACCAGTATTTCACTGTCCAATTTTTTACAAAGTGGTTTGCCAGGTTCTCCTTCCTAGTCGATTGCAGTCTGGAAGTGCCACTGAAACCTACCTACCATGGCTGATCACGCTGGTGTTTGAAATAACAGGAGCATAGCTTCCAACATTACAGCATTATGCAAACCATCACAGTACGACAAACTGACTGATGAGTGGTGGGAAGAGATATTAAAGAGAAACTTAATCACACTTGTGCTATTCTTGTACAAATATAAAATGAAATAATCGCTTTGAGGCAATGCAATTGATCTAAATTATAGTAAAATGTCTTCTCATGTAAAAAGAACTATGTGGCACAGTTACTTATGGAAATACAGGTTTAAATAATCAAAGCAAAAGGTATGAGGAAAAGATGAATTATAGGGGAAAAAAGCTTAGTGCCTACTCTGACATAAGGGAAGAAAGCACAGGTTCTTAGGATGAATCATTTTACGTTGCGAGGTTTTTTCCCTTCAGACTACTCTGAAAGAGACATGGGGGTACAGTGGTTACAGATGTTAACAGTTCAAACCAACCAGCCACTCCTCAAAAGAAAGCCACCGAGATCTGCTTCCATAAAGATTATAGGCTATAATCCGAAGCCAAAGGAGGGAATAGTATCAGAGCCTAAACGGTGAGATTCTGATTTGCAGACGGCTGTGGATGACAGTGAAAATCCAAGATCAATGTGCCATCTAGACAGGAAATAAAGTCCCCGGTGGTTTCCCTCTAACCATCATAGAGGGATGGGGATACCCTGGTTACCAAACAGAGTGCACTGGAGAGAGGACTACAGGAGATCCAATGAGAAACCTGACTTGGACGGTTAAAACCTTGTCACTTGCTCTTCCCCTTCCCACCTCTGATACATGTTGGGCTAGATCTGATCTAGTTTTCAATATTTTCTGTGGGGTTTTTGTTCTTGCTATTATTTTTCCTTTAAGGGGTTATCTCTTATGTATTTTGACACTAGGAATAGCCCTCTTGAATTTCTTTTCTTCTATTTTTCAGAATATGAAATGCAGGACTGATGAACACAGAGAGACAGCAAGTAGGACAGGGATCCTGGCAGGGACAGTGGAGGAGCAGGGTGCTAAAGGAGAGCTGATAGCGAGGAGTTCAAAAAGGAAGAGAATGTTTGGAAACTGTGGTAGCAAGTGTACAATACTGCTTGCTGCAAAAGAACTCTGAAGTGATATAATATCTCCATTAGCTCTCAATAAAATTGTTTTGAGGGGGAAAACATTATTATTATTATCACTACTATTAAAGATGTTTAGTTAAAAAAAAAAAAGGTCATAGGCCAGGAAACTCTGTAGTATATACAGTGCTACTCTCTCCTACAAGGTCGCTGTGAGTCAGCGTTGACTTGAAAACAGTAGGTTGGTTTGGATTTTAGTAGAGAGAGCACAGTTCCTCTTTGGGGAAGGAATTATTTGCTTTTTGTTTTTAATTAAGCCTTTTGAACATTTTATGCTTTGCAGTGTTGAAGAACTTAACCAAAAAGTCAAAGGCAAACTAAGCTGATGCATTAGAAACTTCGGGTAGATTTAGTGTCTTTATCTAATCACAAAGGACTCAGTTATTAATAAGCTAATAGCATGTAATAACTGTGATTACCACTTGTCTGTCAGTGTGCACCAGAGTGGTGGCGTATACATTTTTAATATGCTGGAAACTCTGCCATGTGCACTTCAAACACCAGCAGTTACTCACGGAGGACAAGTTTCAATGGAGTTTTTACACTAGTCAATGGGACTCACAGTAACGTCAATCACACTAGTCTCTTCTCCCAGCTGTGAGTCCCAGCAGGACCCTGGCAACTTGGATGCTATGACCTGCATTCTTCAGACTTCTTAGGTTTGTCTAGGTCAGTGGTTCTCAACCTTCCTAATGTTCCTCATGTTGTGGTGACCCCCCAACCATAAAATTATTTTTGTTGCTACTTCATTACTGTAATTTTGCTACTTGTATGAATCATAATGTAAATATGTTATATGCAGGATGTATTTTCATTGTTACAAATTGAACATAATTAAATATAATTAAAGCATAGTGATTAATAACAAAACAATATGTAATTATATGTTGTAGATTATTAATGTGTTTTCTGATGGTCTTAGGCAATTACTGTGGAAGGGTTGTTCGACCCCCAAAAGGATCGCGACCCACAGGTTGAGAACTGCTAATCTACGTGAAGTAGCAAATCAAGAGTGGAGATGTCGGACAGGGCAAGATATGACAAAATAATAATTTATAACTTATCAAGGGCTCATGAGGGAGGGGGTAACGGGGAGGGAGGGGAAAAATGAGGACCTAATGCCAGGGGCTTAAGTGGAGAGGAAATGTTTTGAGAATGAGGGCAATGAATGTACAAATGTGCTTTATACAATTGCTGTATGTATGGATTGTGATGAGTTGTATGAGCCCCTAATAAAATGATTAAAAAAAACAAAACATTTTCAACATATAAAGATGCATACCCTCATTCTGCATAAAAAATGTTTAAGAAAGAACAAAACAAAACTTGAAATATGCATCTGAAGACTTAAAAATAACTTAAAATCTGAGCTAAGTTATCAGTAAGGAAAAGGGCAGTTATTAAAAGAAAGATGATTTTGAGAATGAGGGCAATGAATGTACAAATGTGCTTTATACAATCGATGTATGTATGGATTGTGGTAAGAGTTGTATGAGCCCTAATAAAACAATATAAAAAAAAAAAAGAAATTAAAGGACACATTGCATTGGGTAAAAATAAATAAATAAATAAAGCAAAAGAAAGATGAACAATCTACAAAAGACCAGAGAGAACAAAAATAAAATGAGGAAACAAGCACAAATTATAATAAAAAATTTTAATTACAATTAAAAGAACATGAATAGGTTAAATTCTTAAAATAATAAAGCTTAGGATAAAAAAAATCCAGTTATATGATTTAAGAATAAGACAAAAGAATGATAGAGATTTTAAGGAATTTTTTTCTAACAGCTTATCAGAATCATTACTATTCTATATATCAAATAACTTTCCAGAAAAGTTCTTTTAAAATTTCACAATTTACAAATTTAGCAACACTATACCTGGACTTCAGGGGATGTCCCATCTTGTGCTAGAGCCAACAAAATGCTGACACTTGTCTTCAGGTGTTGTCCTGAGCCGATACCCCCAACGTATCGATGCAGACAACCAAGAGCCAAGGAATGACCAGTTCTAGAGACAACGTCTCGAGCTGATTTCAACCTGAAAAAAAGTTTATGCTTCAGGGACGGATGTTTCTGTTTCTCTGTGGCAACTCAACGCAACAGCAATTTTATGAGTTATACAATTAAAGGAATTTATTCTAGAAATCAGCAAAAATCATAATCACAATTATTTCTTTCTACCCATTCTTTATATCCTAACAAGAAAAGATGCTCAATTTAAAATAAATGGTTGAAGCCATACATTTTACTGAATAAATCCATCTTCAATTTCAGAGAAAATTTAATGATGCAACCATAACTTCCAATTTTTAATATTATTTAATTTTATTTAATTATTTCTTGAGAATTTGAGAGCGAACTAAAAGTCAATGTTACAATTTAAAAATAAAAAACAACATCTTTCATGACAGGTTTTGAAAATATAAAAATAAAAATATTTATATCAACAGTTACAATGGAGATTTTTATTACATAATCCTTAAAAAAGACTTTTACTTAAGAAATTACCTAAAGTTATTATCTGAATCTCATTAAAGTGGGCCAGCCCTTTTGGTCTGTGAAATATGTTGTAAGAAATTAAAAAATATGAGAGCGAAAACAGATTTTAAAATAAGTTTAAGGAGTTATCCTTATGCACAAAATCTTCAACTTCAAATGCATATTTTAATTAATATACACAATATGCAACCATGACATCATCACAATGTAGAACAGGATTGAACAACAGTAATATTAATGTACGCCTTATCTGTGATTTGAAAATTTCTAGTCAAATTGGGAAACAAGGGAAGGGGACCAGTAAAATTTATCTTAATAAATTTTATGTGACCTAGTAATTCAAAATATTAAAATTTTAAGATTTCATCAGTATGAAAAATTATGAGCAAGACATTCTCATAAGTCTATTTTTCCATGCTAAATCTTCAAAATCGAATACATATTATGTATCTATAGCCTATCTCAATTTGAATAAAGCATATTGAATCTGCCCAAATTGCTAGTGGTGACCATACTGGCAGCACAGATATATTTCCATCATCCACAAGAGTTTCCCTTGCAGCCATATGTCTCCCCATCTCCCCCCAACTCCCTGAAAAAGATCTGTCTTTTTGTACTACAATTTTACCTTTTATATCATATAAATGGAATCAAAGTCTTTTGTGTGCTAAGTCTTTTCATTTAGTATGTTACTTCTGAGATTGACGCATTTTATTGCATCAGTAGTTTGCTGTTTCTTTTAAATAGTTGGATGGTACTCCATTTATCCTTGCAAAAATTATTTTATCCATTCACTAGATGATGCTTGGATGCAAAGAAATTCTTTCCAGTTTTTGGCTATCATATGTAAATTTGCAATGACATACACATACAAGTGTCTGTATGCATAGATGTTTACATTTCTCTTGGGTAAAGTATCTATATTGAATTGCTGGGTGATATTGTAAATATATGTTTAAATTTATTTAAACATATACATTTATTTAAACATAAGAAACTACCAAACCTACTTTCTAGAGGAGCTATGCCATTTTGCATATTTTGTAGAAATATATGAAAGTGTTAAGTTATTCCATGTCTGTGCCGCCACTTAGTGTTTTCATTTTTCTAAATAGCTATTAAAGCGAGCATGTAGTGATTTATTACTGCATTTTAATTTGCATTTCACTGATGACTAATGAGGAGTTAAAATGGACTGGGTGGCAATTGTTTCTGTTTATTTTAAGCTGGTAAAATGTCTATCCAAATGTTTTCTATCTTAAGA